AGCAACTTGTGTCGCGTCTCATCGTTCCGCACACCAATGACGACGCGGTCGCGCAGAGATTCCTCCTTGAGGGTACGGCCGAGGCCTTTGCACTGCGCACAGCAGCGAGCATCACACGTTCCACATAGGCTGTGTGACAAGAAGTCGCATGCACTTTGTAGTTCACACAGGGCTGTGTAAAACGCATCAAATGATTCTCCAGCTTGCTGGACACGCTGGTAAAACTCTATGCGGTCCAACAGTGGATTACGTTGCCGTCTGATATACGCCTGAATGCGCTCCAGCATCAGGTCGACGTCAGCTGAAGCTGGTATGCAAATAATATCCTCTCGGATAAAACGTCGCAGCTCCTCATCGAAACACTGACGGAGTGTTGCCACTCTGGCCTCACGAGCCTGGCTGGCCAAATGCTGGCAAACACTAAAATCTCTCCAGCTTTCAACGAAGGAGTGAAAATCAGCCAGCGTCGCAGACGACAATAAGTGTGGGCAGGAAACACTGTTCACTGGCCGTGGTGCTGAGGTCTGCGAGGTGGACTGAGCTGGTGCTGAGGGCTGCGGAGTGAACTGAAGCTGCGATGGTGATAGCGACCTGCTCTGAACATTCTTGAACAGATCTTGCATCGCCTTATCACGAGCCTCAGCTGCACGCATCTGCTGCTCCATAAATTTCATCAGGACACCCATTTGAGATTCCTGCTGTCGCTCGGTCGCGGAGGACAGGTCAAATCCGGTATCGTCCTGTGATTGTTCCATTACGATTAGTCACTCGTCCACGAGTACGAACAAAATACACTACTAAAATAATTCAACTGAGACAGAGTTTCGATCGCGGAAACTACTACTTCATACGGAAAAACCAACTGGGCCCGTGCAAACACTACAAGGTGCGGACACAAGGCACGGACACAGGAAAGAACAAGTTCACTGCGCCATGATACGTTACTATTTATTCGTGAAGACTTGGGAACGGAAACAAACATGTCATGAGAAAGAACAACAGGAAAAAGAAGCACACTCAACTAATCCGTGTGTGTGCGTGCATGCAGTACAACTATGACGTAATGAATATAGATACACATCAGCAGTCAGCTTCGAGGTCAAGAACGCGATGATATTTTCAGAAGGAATAATTTTCAAAAATTTTAAATTTTGGAGAAGAAGCTTCCTTTCTAAAAAAAAAGCGTTCCTTGCTTTCACGCAAGGAGGTGCCTTGCCGGACATGTCGTCGACAGCACAGTGTCGGCAGATCCACGTTTGTAGGCTGCAGACCCGGCAGACGTTTTGATCATCCCGGCCTGGTGGTGAGATTTTGGACCCGGGAGTACTAAAAAGCTGCTCGCATCCCAGGGTGCTCAGTTTCGCTCTACCCGCGCGAGTAGGGGTCCAGGTAACGGGCTCTCTTTCGCGGCCTGCCGAGCATAATATACCTCATCACCGGACTTGAAACGGAGCTTGGGTGGCAAAAAAAGAAGACTGCACTGGAAGGAAACAGTGTTTTTCGAAAGCAGTTCCATTTTGCATACTGTAGTTTGAGAATACCAAAGGGCTGCTCGCGATCGGATGTTCCCACACCTGGATCGTCTTTGAGTTGTTATCGTTTTCCCTACGATGGAGAACGACGGAACCAGTGGATGACGGACACACGACTCGAGAAATTCGCTCCTGATGCAAATACTTCGAAGTACACGAATATTGTTCCATCGCTTCGTTGGCGAAGAGAAAAGTCATGATCATCCCCTGTCACCCCAGTACGTATCGAACTAACTAACCAACTTGTTCAGCTCATTTGTGGCAGCACCAGTAAAGGCGGAAACACGAAGATGATTCCGAACACTATCAACTTACTTAGTTTGTTGGGGTGCAAGGTATAGCTGGAGTTTGATGATTGATAGGGCTGATGCTGATGGTAATGACTAATGTACCCAGCTCTATGCACGTACCTCTACATGACTGGTGGTGCTAGCTATTCTAGTACTGGCCCTGGGTGCAACTCATCATCTCTTCCATGCCAGTGTGTATGCCTCATGTTCTGCACAACGTATTTCCTTTGTCATGGATAAATACTCTGATCGACAGTCGTCTTGAGGTAGCCTTTTCGACACCACGTTCTTTTTCGTCTTTCCAACAGACATTTTATCCAATTTTTTCTCTCACCAGCATGGCTGAGAACGCATCTGCTCCCGCTTCAGCTTCGCCCGCCACGCCAGACTGGGCAACGAACCTGACACAACTTGTCAAAGAGCAGCATGCTCTAGCAGAGAAGTCTGTCTCTGAAATGGAGGCATGCAAGAAGCAACTGGAAACTGCCACTGCGGAGTTGCATCGCCTCAAAGCAAAGCAAACAACTACTTACTCCTTTCGTAAGGAGAGCTGCAAGGAGCATCACGACTTCGTGGACCAGGTGGAGGCGAAGCTGGAGGACGCGGCCCGGACCATCCCGGATGGACCTGCCAAAACCGCCATCATGGAAGGTATGTCCTTATGCGACAAAAGGAAGAAAATTATAAAAATCGCCGACAAATATGACTGGGCCACGGCGATCCAGTACAAAGGCGAGCATGACATTGCCGACGATGACGAGGACGCGAAAAGGATCAAGAGGGCTGAGACTGAAGTGGAGTCACACTTCTGGCCCTCCTAACCGCAATACAAATGTGCTGTTGTTTGGTGTGTAGCGAGTGTGGCTTATCGCTGTGCGAGAATGCACGTACCTCTACATGACTGGTGGTGCTAGCTATTCTAGTACTGGCCCTGGGTGCAACTCATCATCTCTTCCATGCCAGTGTGTATGCCTCATGTTCTGCACAACGTATTTCCTTTGTCATGGATAAATACTCTGATCGACCTACTTGCGCAATCTTCTTCTGCTTCCCACTTGGTTGCTGCGCTGTGCAGTTCTTCATCTGCTGCGGCACATACTAGTATACCTCATATTCTGTCTTTCTGGTCAATTAGGTACATGTATTCAGCTTCTTGATCTTCTTGTGGTGAGGATCATCTTGATCTTACTTCTTGTGTAACTCTTGCAAAGACAGTAATGGAGGACACTCTACCGGTAATCAGCAACTGCTTATGGAGAATGCCAGGTCGAGGGACGACCAGGAAAAAACAATTGCTGTATTGGATGTGCATTCATCAGCGTGTTTTAAGATCAGGACAACTAAGTTCGCCACTACACCAACTTTTTGGCTACATAGGAGCAATGATGATGATGGCCGTGTTTGACTTCGTCAGTTTTCGTGCTACCAGCCACCGCATGTCAACATTGTCATACTCGTACTGATAAGGAAGAAAAACCCACACACGCACGCGCACACACGCACACACACACACACACACACACACACACACACACACACACACACACATGGATACACTGACAGGCATGCAAAGCAAGAGAGACACAGAGAGAGAGTCAGGCAGCGGAAGAGAAGTGAGACTACTTGTAGGTTATGGCCCTATGGGCACGGTGCTCCAATTTCTGCCCAGCTGAAGTAAAATCCATGTACACTATTTTCGTGTAGTGTTCAGTGACGGTGCCAGCCACTGGTGAGTGACCCAGTGGTGTAGGTGTTGACATTCAGCACACATCACATTTCAGTCTCCAACGTAAATTCAGTCAAAACAACACTGCACTGCAGCAACATGGGAACATGCTTCTCCCAGGCCCACCATGCAAGTGCAGTGTGCGCCAAGAACAATTCCAGGTAATTCAGCAGCTACCCAAGGATGGACAGGTTCGGCAAAAACACTCCGCGAGTGCCTGACGTTTGCAAACGTATTTTGTTGACAGTTGTTGTTTCTTCCTTCGATTGGGCAAGACACGATAATGTGCCAACCCAGCCAGCAATGAGACACATGCATTTGTATCCATCAGGGCTATTGTAAGACTTTAGAGAGTCCTTTGCATATGTGCTGGGGACATTCACTAAATAATTAGAGAGGCCTGGATACCCAACGCAGGGGGATTGGCTGAAAGGTCTTCGTCCATAGGTAAATATGGATCAATGTACTGGGCCCACGGATTCTGTCAATCTTCTCGCGGCAACGCCTCTTCAAGGCTGGAATAAACAGTAGAGTAACTACGGCTAGTAATCCTCGCGACTTACCGAAACTATTCACCACATCAAAGAAAAGCAAAAGTGCTTCACCACTGCGACGGCCTGCAACATCATTTCCAACCGTACACCGAACAACACATTTGATTCTCGCACAGCGATAAGCCACACTCGCTACACACCAAACAACAGCACATTTGTATTGCGGTTAGGAGGGCCAGAAGTGTGGTTAGGAGGGCCAGAAGTGTGACACCACGTTCTTTTACATGGAAGGATGCGGAATTGTAGAATAGCGGAAGAAGGGACAGAGCACATGGATATTCTGTGAAAGCAACGCAATGGCAGCAACTGAGAGAGCAATGACCGAAAACCAGAAGCACCACTTGGGACCGTCAGATTAATTCGTCTGGGCCGAGCCAGCCGGGAAAAAACCCTCGCGCCGACGGACGCATTATTTTTTTGAGGGAAAAAACCGGGTGTAAAACCCCAAGTGGCTAATCTGACAAGTACAAAAAGCAGGGAGGGAGGGTGGGTACCTCAAGACGACTGGCCAGTCGTGCTCATGCGCAGCGGTTTAGAGAACATGTGAAGATGTACGAGTAAAAAGAAATTGATCAGATGACTGCTCACTTGTGAGAAAAAAACACGAGAAAAAACCGCTGTGACGAGAAAATACTTCTCGCCTCTGTCGCTGCGCTCTGCCGTCGAGAAGATACCATTCTCGCACAGCGATAAGCCACACTCGCTACACACCAAACAACAGCACATTTGTATTGCGGTTAGGAGGGCCAGAAGTGTGACTGCTAGACAACGCATAGTAGGGACAGAGCAGTGGAAGAAGTGGACAGAGGACAACGCGAATTCAGCTATATATGCGCATATCTGTACGAGTATGGTTAGACAAGCTAACGCCGTGTTCGGCCTCCGCTACTAAGCAACGTCATAGGCCAAGAGATTGAGACAACTGGAGGAGCTGGGGAAGCGACTCCTCTATATACCTATTCTTGGAGGAGTCCGACTTCCAACCACCATGTCGCTTGATTAGTCTGTCAGCGGTCCCAGCACTGGCAGCAGTAGAAGCGGCTCCAGAGCGCATACTGTGAAGGCCGTACTCCTTGGCGTCAAGGCCGACGATGGCCAGGCATTTTCGCACCTTCTCCAGGGCGCACGAGTAGCTGATGGCGATAGGCCTCAGTATGGCCTGCTTGCGGCAGCTGCCCAAGCGACAGAATAGAGGCTGGTGGGGCAGATGCTTGCCAGCGGTGAGGAAGCGCTGCACCAGCTCGACGGGACAGGTGGTTAGCCCAGATCTGGCAATATACACCTGGTGGCCTTTGCGAAACTGGTCGTTCTTTCTCTGCTGCAGCGAGATCACCATGTGGGTGTCTGTAAAACTGATGTCGGAAGGCGTCAGGCGGTGCAGCTCGTCCCATCGCAGCATTGCGGAGAAGCCCAAGACAATGAGGGTGATTGTCTGCAGGTCATCCAGGGAAGTGGACGAGTCGGAGTAGTGCTCGATGATGCGCTGCACTTCCGTGGACACGAGTGCCTTCTTCGGCTTGACAGGGCGCGCAAGCAATCTCTGCACAGCCCGATGGCACTGAGCGACACATGCGTGTCGGGTGGGGTCTGGGAGCGTTGCTTTCTGGTGCACCCATGAGATGCTTGCAACAGCGGTGGCAACGGGTGCCGGTGATGAGGATGACAGCAGTAGGTGGACAAGGTAGAGGCCAACGTGAAGACCGTCAGCGGGAAATGCGGTGAGGGAGGCTGATGATGCGAACGCATGCCAGCGATTGAAGCCTCTGGCGTACGTCTGAACGGTCGAGGGTGCGTGCCCGCACAGCATCACTTTCGGCAGAAGGTGCATCAGCTTGCCGATAGCGCTGTCCTCCTTCGCTAGTTGCTCCAGTGCCGTCCAACCCGGGATATGTTGTGGGGCTGTAGGGAAGAAGCATAAGACCAGAAGAAGGGACAAGGACAGGGGAAAGGGCGGCCACCACGCCGACAGGTTTGCCGGCATGGTAGTTACCAACATTGGGAGCGTAAGTTAGAATAAGTATCCAGCGAGCAGCAGCACTATACGGCCCCCGTAATGTGGGTTGCGCCGGTTTAGACTTGGAAAAGGAGCGCCCTGCATCGCTGACATTGTGTAGCTACCCTTTTGTGCCAGCGGCAGCCCAGACTCCGTCTACCCCGTTTCACGGTAGTTCAGGGTGGTACGCTGTCTGACCGTGTATGCTATCACACCAACTACCTCGTGTGCAGAAATATTTGACGGAAATCTCGCCTTGCGGTTGTATTGCTCTGGGTAGAAATAGATCGGCCTATATGGCCGGAATTAGTGCGTAAGGGGGAATGGGGGTTGCTGCTAAACAAAACCAGAGAAGTTGAACATGAGACACGAAAATGTATCAGATTGCATGATTGGCAGCATCACCACAGTGAGGATGTGAGTTTATACTGCTGAATGACGCTGACCGCTGACTGATGCTGACCGCTGACTGATGCTGACTGCTGAATGACGCTGACTGACGCTGACCGCTGGCTGGTGCTGACCGCTGACTGCTGGCTGATGCTGACTGACGCTGACCGCTGGCTGATGCTGACCGCTGACTGATGCTGGCCGCTGACTGATGCTGACTGCTGGCTGATGCTGACTGCTGACTGATGCTGACTGCTGGGTGACGCTGACAGTTGACTGACGCTGCCCGTTGAACGATGCTGGCTTCCGGCCGCTGTTCTTCCGGGTTGTTGTTCGGGATTAAGGCGGCCCTTGCCTGGGGCGGTTGGGCTTGTGCCGGCCGCATCCGCAGACTCTTACAGCGAGTACTTCGCATGTTGGGCTATCGCTGCCGAAGAGGTTCCACTTACACTCACCCGAGATGAAAAGGTTCTCCCGAGGCGGGATGACCATATGATCGACCACCATATCTCGGAAGCCCGCTGGAGACCATAGCAGTGGCCACCATGTGGCCGAAGGCCAGAAAGGGAGGATCAGAGTGCCGTCTGCGTGGCAAGCTTGCATGTGGCGAATCGTGCGACCGATGAGGTGGATTGGAGGTTCGATCCAATTGTTCTCGTCGTTCCAGCTCACGGAGAATGCGTCCACAGACGTGCAGCCTGGGGACCACCATCTACTGCAGAAGCGCTGCATCTGAGCGTTCTGCGGAGTAGCGAAGCGGTCGATTGTATGTGGGCCCCATTTCCGGTCAAGCATTAGGAAGACGTCTGGCGCAAGCTGCCAATCGTCCTGGTCCTTCACCTTTGAGAAGAAGTCAGCTCTCTCATTCTCTTCCCGAGGTATCCACTCTGCCCGGAACGTGATACCTTGTCGGATGCAGATACGGAAGAGTGCCAGGGCTTCGTCGTGAAGATGGGGGTGTTTGCTGCCAGATGCGATTATCGCGACTGCCGCCTGATTATCTGATCGGTGGATCACTTCGCATCCTGACAAGACTGGTAATAGAGATAGTATCACGTATCTAACGGCAATGAGCTCACGGAGAGTGCTGCTTGTTTCACGTACCTCTGGTGGAAGCGGTCCTCTGGCAACGCAGGTGCCGAGCTTTGAAACGGAGTATCCGCCCCACCCAGTTTCGCTGGCATCGGACCAAGTGAGAACTGCAGAAGCTGCTACGAGGGGCCTCAGCGGGCGACCGTGGAATTTATGGAAGCTTTCCGACCAAAACGTGATTTCATTGCGGAGCTGGGGAGTCGCATGTACAATCTCCTCCCACGAGGCGGCTGTGGAGATAGCCTCATACATTGCTCTAGTTTGTAGCCGTGTTACCGTACCGAAAGCTGGGCTCATTGAGATGATGGAGCCTGCGATCTTGGCTACTTCTCTGGCTGTGGCATGATCAAGGTTTGTTGTGGTGAGGAGGTGCGAGAGTTTCTCTACGCGCGCTTCGGTCACCTTGATGGTGCCCTGGGCCAGGTCAACATGGAAGCCCAGCATGTCTCCCTGTTGTGATGGTGTGAATCGGCTTTTCTCACTGAGAATAAAACCTGATTTCAGGATGTCTGCCCGAACAATATCAGCAAGCTTACTAGCAGCAGTCTGTGACGATTCTGCCCCCGCACCGTCGTCTAGATACATGAACAATTTGTGACCATTGCGTCTCCACCAATGCACCAGATCTCTGGTGATTTTCGTAAATACATGTGGTGCGGTGCAGAGTCCGAAAGGTAACACTGTAAATGTGTAGAGCTCTCCTCGCCATTTGAATCCCAAATATTTGTGATACCTGGGATCAATGTCGATATGGTGGTAAGCGGACTTCAGGTCGAATGAGAAAAAATACTCCCCCGTTTCAAACATGGTTCGAAGGGTGCTGATATCCTCGTATTTGAACCTAGGTGCCAGGAGGTGCTTGTTGAGATATCGCAGGTCTAGGATCAGCCTCAGCTTTTTCTGCTCAACTACACCTAGAGGGCTACAAATGCTGATCTTGTCAGCAGTGGTTTTCTCTATGCATTTTGCAGATAGTAAACTGACGATAGCTTCGGACACAAATGATACATGTTTGAAACAGCTTGAGTGATTTTTTGCAGCATAGGGTGTGGGAGTGGTTGTGAACGGTAGATAGTAACCATTACTTAATACATTGAATGTGAAGGACGAGCAGCCAATAGATGACCAAAAACTTAAACAATTACGAAGGCGACCGCTGAGTACAACATTACACGACGAGGATGATTCACAATAAAAATCATTGGCAGAATGCATAGGATAGATCAACTCAGCAATATTACATTGAGGATACGATTGAGGATACGCGTGATTCAAGTGATAATTCTCTGGCTCATCGAGCTCTCCTAGCGTTTCCAGAGGCTGCGTCTGGGCAAAGCTTGGCCCAGTGGCCAGGTTTTCCGCAGGCGAAGCATACGACTTTCGCCGACGGGGCAGCAGACGACTGCTGGTCGGTTCGCGGAGCTGGAGGGACCCTGGGGCTCCGCGGCGAGTATGGCTCGTAGTGAGGACGAAAACTAGAACTGGGCCTCACTGATCGGCTCTGTCGCCTGGTCTTCTCCACTTCAGTCTCAGCCCTCTTGATCCTTTTCGCGTCCTCGTCATCGTCGGCAATGTCATGCTCGCCTTTGTACTGGATCGCCGTGGCCCAGTCATATTTGTCGGCGATTTTTATAATTTTCTTCCTTTTGTCGCATAAGGACATACCTTCCATGATGGCGGTTTTGGCAGGTCCATCCGGGATGGTCCGGGCCGCGTCCTCCAGCTTCGCCTCCACCTGGTCCACAAAGTCGTGATGCTCCTTGCAGCTCTCCTTACGAAAGGAGTAAGTAGTTGTTTGCTTTGCTTTGAGGCGATGCAACTCCGCAGTGGCAGTTTCCAGTTGCTTCTTGCATGCCTCCATTTCAGAGACAGACTTCTCTGCTAGAGCATGCTGCTCTTTGACAAGTTGTGTCAGGTTCGTTGCCCAGTCTGGCGTGGCGGACGAAGCTGAAGCGGGAGCAGATGCGTTCCAGGGGCGTACGCCGCTCGCCTCCAGGAGTGGTTCCCATGCCAACTGATGAACCACCATTACACACAATTGAAGTGCTGTTTTTCGTACCCCACAGAGTTTCTGCATATTCTCCTCAGACTGGGTGAAATTGCCATCCACAAGCTGCTGGACGATGTCATTGCTACGCATTTATGACTTTTCCCCGTTTTATGGATGTTTTGGTCAGCATGACGATTGCATGCAGTCTTGAAAGCTGCCTAAGTTTCGAATCATCTGGAGCAAACATCACACAGGGCAAGCAGAAGCCACCATTGCATGCCTGTCAAAAGACTATCCAGGGTAACTCCTCCAACAAGGATAGTTGAAAGTGGCGCTGTTTGCCATCCATCTGGACACGCACAGGAAATGAAATCCTTCGCCTGCGGTGGCGCACAACGATTGTCGATGACGGAAATCTTTTCCGTGTCCAGCAAATTTCGGGGGACTGGATTCCACTGTGGACGTCGACTTTCAGAATATCCCTTCCAACACCCTCCCATGTCATTGAAGTACGTTTTGGATGATCCAGCAGCTTCCAACAACGGTCGCTCTACAGCTTCGCCGACGATTTCTTCCTCAGCGCTGCTCGTTGCATGCATACTTCACTTGCACGTCAGGTGCGTCTGCATTCTCATCTATCGCTTGACGTTCGCCACTAGCACTGGCTACACATTTTGCCTGCAGCTCAAAATAGCTCTGAATAGAGCGCTGGCCCTCTGGATGTCGACGCTTCATTTTTCTTTTCCACAAAGCGAAAGCATCGTCAAAACACGACCAACTTTGTCAAAACAAACTCCAAAAGAAAATTTGACTCTGAGATCGAGGAATCCGGCGATGTAACTAGACTAGAGACTTTGTTGAACCCATGATGGGTTCAGGCACGGCCCAGTTCAGTAGATCTACGCTGTGTCCCACTCCCAGCACCACTTTCACACCTGGGCTAGTTACAGTAGTAGTCAGTCACCGTCGACGCGTCCTCGGACCGGCAGGCGGACTCCAGACATGCACTGCATGCACTTGCACTGTGAGTCTGTGATTGGATCAAAAAATTCTCTGTACCCATTATCGAATTTGTTTTACTGGTTCCCGGGCATCCCGGGAACCGCCCTATGTACGCCCCTGTTCTCAGCCATGCTGGTGAGAGAAAAAATTTGATAAATGTCTGTTGGAAAGACGAAAAAGAACGTGGTGTCGAAAAGGCTACCTCAAGACGACTGGCCAGTCGTGCTCATGCGCAGCGGTTTAGAGAACATGTGAAGATGTACGAGTAAAAAGAAATTGATCAGATGACTGCTCACTTGTGAGAAAAAAACACGAGAAAAAACCGCTGTGACGAGAAAATACTTCTCGCCTCTAGCTCTAGAGGCTCTGTCGCTGCGCTCTGCCCACGGCTGTTATGCATGCATAATCCAGCGACATTATGTACGGTACGACATTTTCCCGTCGCCCCGGCCATATGCCGTCGAGAAGATACCATTCTCTTTTTGCCACCCAAGCACATTTTACCGTAGGACACGGACTTGTCTTATGGGTGATCTTTGGGTGGACACCGGGAAGGCGCCAAAAAGGTGATGTAATGGAAAGTCCTCTATACATGTAGCTAGGTATGACGTACGTAAGCTAGCTGTGTATGCAGTGACGTGTGCACAATTTTATTATGATGTCATGACATGCGAGACATTTTTTTACCGAGAAGGACACGTTTGTATTCTCCTCTCCAACCAATTTATTTACTGTAACATTAATTTTTGTGTTACTTCAGTTGTTTTCTGTGATCAGGCGGCGTTGAAGTTTGTGTATCTGTAGGAAAGGATTGGAACTTCGTTTGATGTCAAGAATGCCGAAACCTCTTGTTCTTGCCGGGCCATCAGGCTCTGGAAAAAGCACCCTTATGAAAAAGCTGATGAGTGAATATCCTGGTGAGTTTGGATTTAGTGTATCGCACACAACACGTACGATGAGAGCCGGTGAGAAGGATGGTGTGGATTATCACTTCACGACCAAGGACGAGATGAAATCTGCTGTTGCTCGCGGGGAGTTCATTGAGTCTGCTGAGTTTTCCGGCAATATGTATGGAACGTCGATCAAGGCTGTCTCAGACGTTGTTGAAAGAGGCCTGGTCTGTTTGCTGGACATTGATATGCAAGGAGTGAGATCTGTGAAGAAGACTGATCTATCCCCTACGTATGTGTTAATCAAAGCAGCATCAATGGAGGAACTGGAAAAACGTCTCCGGGGACGTGGCAGTGAGTCAGAGGAGAGTCTCACCGCTAGGCTGACTGCTGCGAAAGAAGAACTGGATTTTGCTATGCAGCCTGGCGTATTTGATCATATTGTTGTCAATGACGAGCTGGAAAGATCATACGGTGAGTTTGTCGGCATCGTTCGCAAACTCTACCCTCATCTTAAATCATCCTAATAGAGATGCTCACTAAATCAAACTGAACAGTGTGTGAACTTCTCTTACGGAGCGAACAGCCAAAGTGCACAACAGAGAACAGTGAATGGATAGGTAGATGTGCTGGGACAATGTCTGAATAGAACCTGTTGATCCTGAAATTCAGATTATTGCTGCTTTTTTTTCTCTAACATATACACGTAGACTTCCATTTCCCAACTACTAGTACATGACTGGGTATATAATAATTATAATGCAGGCCTTGCCTGATAGGTAACATGTTTTCACGGTGACAGCGTGAACAAGTTTCCCATACAGTGTGTCCTGCCTTGTTCACGCTGTCACCGTGAAAACATAGTACATGACTTGTTTGTATAACTAGTAGTTGGAATGGGCTTTTTTTCGCTGATGACCATCATTCAATAAAAACATCAGCGAATATTTTTTCTCTTCATCAAAAGACTAATCTGGGGGTCTTCTTCGGAATTAGCTACTAGTACTATCATGTATTTCCCTCAGCTTATGAATATCATGTATTTACTTGTTGCTAGGCTTATTTATTGCCATTTTTACAATGTGCAGTTGGTTGTGCTTTCCAGCAACTTTTGAGATTACTATAAGAACACTCATAACACTTTGCCGTGTTCTGCTTCTCAAAGGTGGGCGATGCTGTTATGGCCCTCTATTGACTCGTGGATCTAACACATAATTTGTTTGCTACTCTTTTCTTGCTCTGCATTGCCATGCTACTTAGCGCTGCATTTCATGTCAGTGTACCTACCACCGCTGCGTTGTGTTAGTTATCCCAGGTGCATGTACATGTACATGTTGTGATGATTGGAGCTATTACTAGTACAGTCGTCCCTCTCTAATCCGGCACTTGTTTATCCAGCACCCTTGCAAACCAGCACACTTTCTGGCAAAACGGATTTTTTCACTTCATTTTCTACGCTTTAATCCGGCACTTGAATTCCGCCCCCGGCAGCGATATTCTGCAACAAATCACTCAAACTGTACATAATTTGATTTTCTAATCCAGCAGTTGTACATCGCATACCGTACCGGTGCCAATATCCTATGCCAGTGCATAGGATATTCCCAAGTGTATGTTAATTGTTATAGACATGGCATGTTACAGACATGCATTCCACAAACTTGTGACAAAGTACTTGGATTGACACAGAAAATCCCTACATTTTGACGTACGACACAAACATGTACGTTACTAGGTGAGCCGGGTTGGAGGGCAGGATTTGATAATCCAGCACCCTTGTTTATCCGGCAGAAAATGCCGTTGCAAAAGGTGCCGGATTAGAGAGGGACGACTGTATAAAGCAGCAGTAACTAGTTATCTTTTGATGACCACTCAGGAGCTGCATCTGCGCCAGCAGAGTCTCACGCGAACCGTGCAAATAAATCTACATTGTACGTCAGACTTATGCCTGACCCACACTAGGCCGATTTTTCGGCCAATGCTCCGACACGAAATCGGCGGACTGCCTATACACACACAGATTTGTCGGAAAAGCGTGCGACAACACCGTCGACACCAGGCAACTTTCACTCCGATTTCGAGAATTTGTCATGCGATCCCATATCGGCCGAAAAATAAGCCTGCAACAGTCAGTAGTACAAAAAGTAGTGTGGACCAGGCATTATGACAAGCAGACTTAGTGATTATGTAGGCCGGGTTTTTAGTAGGGGTGAAGCGATTACACTTTTTGGCTACGAGTACTGCATAACCTAAACCATTATTGATCGGTTAGGGGCCGTCCAAGGTTACCAATAATATTTTTTAAACGAAATGTTTTCGTTTGTGGCTGGGTGGGTTTGATGGAGTTTCGTTTTGAAAATAATCATCGAATGCTGATAGAGAATGCCCAGTTACTTCTGGGTGTCGAAAATTGACATCAATATTTTATTGGAATTCACTTTACCTGCAGAAAAGGTGGGTGGGTGGGTGGGGGCTGAAAAATACTAAAACCTTTCGTTTTGTAAAAACAATCGGTAACCCCGGACGGCCCCTTATCGGTTATTTTCAATTATCTCCCGATATAAAAAGCAGTATTTAGTAGAAGCTGAAAAATGCGAAAATTTGGAAATTTGGAAATATTGATCCTGTGGAGAAGAGAATTTTTTCTCGCACATCGGTACGTAGATCTACGCGGTCGCCGGTCAGTCTACAATCATTATTTATGTGTATAATCATAGCGGAGGCACGCATCCAGTGAACCTGCACAGTGCAGTGATCCTACTGAGTGACAGACTCTGTAAATACTGTATATGATGATTCGTTTTTATATATGTGTTGATTCTTCACAAAATGTGTTATTTTGCCCGTACAAGAGGCTCAGTATAATCATGTACACATGTGTACCGAGTCTGTACGCATAATTGAGTAATCGAAACTTCGAGTATTCGGTATAATCGTTTCACCCCTATAAGATTAGAGTAGATATGAACGCAGCCAGATTGAAAATAAGAACGTCCCAGGCAAACCCCTTGGAAACAACGACGTTCTTGGGCGCCGAACTCCACTGTAAGTCTGTAGACTAGAATAATAGTGTTTTTTGTACATTGTACTAATTTGTAGTTAGGCTAATAGCTCTGCTCCGATCCATGCCTGGCCTGTATGACTACGTACTGTACAGTCAACTTCGCTTATAACGACTGCGGATATAACGACAATTCGCGAATAACGACAGAATTGGCATGCCCAGAGAAAAGTCCCATCCAACGAAGACCGAAGCAATGTTCATTAGCCCATCGCCGCCTACTCAGCCGTTGCACTTTCCAGGAGCCAATGCTAACGTTAAAATTGTTCATGAACACAAACACCTTGGTGTTATATTCGACAGCCATATGTCCTGGTCCCCACAGGTCCAGTCAGTATGCAAGCGAGCTAGCTCCTCCCTTGGCATGTTGCAACCTCACTGCCACCATTTAAATGACCATTGCCGAAAAAGTGTTCTTTACGTCGTATATTCTACCTATATTTGATTACTGTGACACAGCGTGGTGCGGTCTGTCTCAGGCCCTTGTTCAAACTCTGGAAATACACCAGCGTCTGCTTCTAAAAATCCTGTTTCGCAAAAATCAAACATTCTCCTCCCAACGTCTCTACAGTTTAGCTTCAGTATCTCCCCTCTTAGAGCGACACCAGCAACATCTTTGCATCCTTGTACACATGATCTTATTAGACCTGGCTCCAAAACACTTTGCTAAGTATAACTGGTTTGTGTCCACCAGATCAACACGTCATTCCTTCTCATTACCCCGTGCCAATACCTCCCTGTTTCTGAAATCTCCTATCTTCTCTGCGTACACTCTCTGGTCTTCCCTGCCAACTAGCCTTAAAGCATGCACAGACATTAAGGAGTTCAAGCTTCAGCTTCTTCGTCCTAAATAATCTCGCCATTTTCGTCATGCCTCCCCTTGCAGTACTCTCTTTGTTTCTCTCCTTATTATTCAGTTCGCCGTGGTTGGCTACCACCCGACTTCTCATATATATTGGCAGTCTTCTGACGAGCCAGGAGATGTTGAATTAATAATAATAATAATAACTGTAAGTGTATTTAGAATCAACTAGTAAAAACTCCTACTCAATCTCCAACAACAAAATTAGTGGACAGCTGTTATTTGTGTTTCTATGACAACTCGTGTGCTGGACGAGTATTTGTTGTCATTGGTTCAATTTCTTTTACTCTTCATAGGCTATCAGATCATTTTCCTTATTCAGTCTATTTATAACCAGTATCTATGAGAGTGTGGTCTGTCTCCATGGTTACTGGTGTTCTTTTCAGCCATTTCTCCTTGTTACTATCAAGAGTACATACAGTTTCATGTACTTTTGTTACTATGTTAGACCTTATCTGGAAGGCCCATTCTTGCATATTCCAACAGCAGCCAAGGGAGCTAGCTCTCTTGGTTATCATGGTTATGCGGACTGGGTCCGATCCTAAAAAGCTGTTTTTATAACTGTTTTTATGAACTGTTTTTATTGGCCTTTGGCCAGCTGTGGGGATTGCCCTATCAAAAATGTGATGATAATAATAATAATAATAATAATTTGGAAAGGATTGGGAGAACTTCAAATTCAAATGATCAGTCGGGGAAGTGAACTGCCTGAAAAGAGAAAAAACGCCAGACCCACCAGGACTCGAACCTGGGACCCTGCTTGTCATGAGCAATGCTCTAACCACTGAGCTATGGGACCAGGCTGAACCTAGAAGGCGCTGACAAGTTTTTCACTCCAAAGGCAGCTCACAACACGTGCCACACATACTGATGGCACTTGGGTCTTTTTCCCTCCCCCAGGGGACCAACCACGGTCAGTTTCTGGAAACTACCAGAGGTGAAAGAAAGTGATTAAATTTGGAAAGGATTGGGAGAACTTCAAATTCAAATGATCAGTCGGGGAAGTGAACTGCCTGAAAAGAGAAAAAACGCCAGACCCACCAGGACTCGAACCTGGGACCCTGCTTGTCATGAGCAATGCTCTAACCACTGAGCTATGGGACCAGGCTGAACCTAGAAGGCGCTGACAAGTTTTTCACTCCAAAGGCAGCTCACAACACGTGCCACACATACTGATGGCACTTGGGTCTTTTTCCCTCCCCCAGGGGACCAACCACGGTCAGTTTCTGGAAACTACCAGAGGTGAAAGAAAGTGATTAAATTTGGAAAGGATTGGGAGAACTTCAAATTCAAATGATCAGTCGGGGAAGTGAACTGCCTGAAAAGCAGGGTGGTTAGAGCATTGCTCATGACAAGCAGGGTCCCAGGTTCGAGTCCTGGTGGGTCTGGCGTTTTTTCTCTTTTCAGGCAGTTCACTTCCCCGACTGATCATTTGAATTTGAAGTTCTCCCAATCCTTTCCAAATTTAATCACTTTCTTTCACCTCTGGTAGTTTCCAGAAACTGACCGTGGTTGGTCCCCTGGGGGAGGGAAAAAGACCCAAGTGCCATCAGTATGTGTGGCACGTGTTGTGAGCTGCCTTTGGAGTGAAAAACTTGTCAGCGCCTTCTAGGTTCAGCCTGGTCCCATAGCTCAGTGGTTAGAGCATTGCTCATGACAAGCAGGGTCCCAGGTTCGAGTCCTGGTGGGTCTGGCGTTTTTTCTCTTTTCAGGCAGTTCACTTCCCCGACTGATCATTTGAATTTGAAGTTCTCCCAATCCTTTCCAAATTTAATCACTTTCTTTCACCTCTGGTAGTTTCCAGAAACTGACCGTGGTTGGTCCCCTGGGGGAGGGAAAAAGACCCAAGTGCCATCAGTATGTGTGGCACGTGTTGTGAGCTGCCTTTGGAGTGAAAAACTTGTCAGCGCCTTCTAGGTTCAGCCTGGTCCCATAGCTCAGTGGTTAGAGCATTGCTCATGACAAGCAGGGTCCCAGGTTCGAGTCCTGGTGGGTCTGGCGTTTTTTCTCTTTTCAGGCAGTTCACTTCCCCGACTGATCATTTGAATAATAATAATAATAATAATAATTAGGAAATTTGAGGCCACATGCCACGTAATGCTCTTTTCTCTCCGAAACTCAACACTTGCAAGCCAGATATGAAAGAAAGAAAAAATCATCACTGATGAGTCACACCACTTTCATATCTGGCTTGCAAGTGTTGAGTTTCGGAGAGAAAAGAGCATTAGTGGCATGTGGCCTCAAATTTCCTAACACTTTGAAAATTCTCCGTGAAGTCCAAACTTGAAATTGCAATTTGTATTTGCTCGCAGTGGACATAGTTTGATGCGCTCCCCATGATATCAAGCGAATGGCCGAGGGCCCTCTTGATTGGTGTGAGTTGCCAGTATGATGCAAGCCAGATATTGATTGATCGAAGGATAGATTTACCATCACTGTGGATAAGAGTCATACCAAGAGTTCATAACCTGGGGGTTATGAACTCTTGGTCATACTGTAGCTCAGTTGGTTAGAGCATTGCTCGCGAATAGCAAGGTCCCTGGTTCGAGTCCCGTTGGTGTGACTGATGATTTTTTCTTTCTTTCATATCTGGCTTGCAAGTGTTGAGTTTCGGAGAGAAAAGAGCATTACGTGGCATGTGGCCTCAAATTTCCTAACACTTTGAAAATTCTCCGTGAAGTCCAAACTTGAAATTGCAATAATAATAATAATAATAATGCAATTAGGAGTATAATAGATGCAGACATGGCCAGACAACAACGAGTTCATGGAATTTTTTAAGGATTTTTATGTTATTCAAAATCGATTTTCGTGTTCCGCTCATCAGTGAATAGTATCGGAACTGAGGGTACTGTGTACAAAAATAGAACATTTTATAACAGCAAAATTAAAAGTGTGAACAAAAAAGGAAGTGCTACAGCATTACATAATAGGTGTCAAACATAGTGCTAACATATATAACTGAGTGCAGGCACAAAGCATGAGGTGTACACAGTACCCTCAGTTCCGATACTATTCACTGATGAGCGGAACACGAAAATCGATTTTGAATAACATAAAAATCCTTAAAAAAATTCCATGAACTCGTTGTTGTCTGGCCATGTCTGCATCTATTATACCGTCCTAATTGCACTAATAAAATTGCTTTCTCCACGCCGACTCTTTAAATAATAATAATAATAATAATTTGAAACTCGGGTATTGAGCCAATAATAAAAGTAGAAAGGAAAAGGATATATGGGAACGAGTTAATAAGAGTAACTCTCCACCACTGTAACTAGATACTATATACAGTCAGAAAGTGCAACAACTAGGCACAAACCTGAAGTTGGAAGGCTGTCGGTTAGCGCTACGGAGATGTGTTGAAGCTAGGTGTCAGGACGTCGAATGTCTCAGTACTCTGTCAGTTTTGTGCCTAGTTGTTGCACTTTCTGACTGTATTATAGTATCTAGTTACAGTGGTGGAGAGTTACTCTTAACTCGTTTCCATATATCCTTTTCCTTTCTAATAATAATAATAATAATAATACAGCTGTAATTGGATAGGATATGATTATTATGTTGAATAAACGAGGTTTGTGTCAATAGGGCTTGAAAGTGATGACGTCAAAAACGGCCAGGGAGTAGTAAGTTGACATCAGATCTCTATTTTGGATCCACTAAGGTGTGACTTTGCTATTGCCTCAGTATGTGGGTGCATAGCAACCAGGGAGTCGTAAAATATTTTACGACTCCCTGATAGCAACCCACTCATGTCGTATGCAGGCTGCAGGGGTGACTTTTACTTCGCCACCAGTTGTAACCCCGCCCCCAGTAGCCAAATCAGTCAGTTTCACTGGTTACATCACCTTGCTGTGAGTAAGACGGCTTGAAATGTGCTTGGATCCATACAAAACTGGATTGAATTTTTGAAATTGTTGCTATGCTGTGACGTAGCACTTTCAAGCCCGGAGATTGACTCGGAGTTTTTACGAGTTGATTCATACCAAGAGTACGTTTTCGGCGACCCTCACCTTCCCGTGGTGAATCCGTCAGGAGACTATAGTCAGTTTCAAAAAGATTAGCAATCCTGGCGATCGCCCGGGGAGTTTGCCGTCTTACCGTATGAGCGCTCGAGGGCTGCCTGGAAAAACTCACTGTGAACTCGAAGAAATATTCCGCGCGAAAGCATGAAAAATGACAACTCACTGACGTCGGTACTCGTACATGACTTTGTGTTCGTCTTGTTTACAACAAACGAGTTCTTCCTCGTATCGATATCGAGTCAGAGAGGACATGTCGAAAGTCTGGTAAATTTTGACGAGCGGGATGCGTCCTGACCAAATAGATTCTTTGAGCTGCCGTGGATGCAATATACTCTCACGATGTGACGAAAACGGCATTGACACAGACTCATTCCCAAGGCCTTGATGTGGCAAAGCTATCCGTGTGACTTCGACGACATTTTGAGAAAAGCAGACGCCTGTGAAAGCTGATAGAAGACGGCGTTGACTCCTAAATTCAAATAATATGGCGATCTTGAAATGCTAAAATAATTCTCAAACAGAAATCGATCGATCGATGTGCCGGTGTATTCAACAACACGTAGCTACAGCGCAGTGACTTCCGTGTTCACTCACACGGTTTCAGTGTTGTGTGTGTTCACAACTTCACATGGCGTGAGCCAGTCAAGTGTCAGTCATTTGGCGCAGCCACCTTCTTTGTCTTGACTCTTGTACAAAAATTGTACCAGCGTGATCACCAAAACAATGAAAAAATGAAGAAAAGATGTTTGACTTGAAGATTTGCTGGGATTTGAACTCACAACTTCTTGGTCAGCAGACAGCATTCATAACCACAAGGCCAAAAAGGAAGGGATAAATCGTGGGTTTTGATAACAAATCGATACTGGCTTCCAGGGCAAATTATAAACCATGGGAAAAGGCAAGAAACCTGGCCGAAATTCTAACTCCTTAACGGTTGGTCCAATTGTTCTGAAACCTTCACAGAACAATTTGCCATGCCCTAACAAGCCATTTTATGTACTTTGTTGTCCAAATTTCCCTTATCTTCATACTTCTTAAGACCTAAACTTGATTGCTAATCTTTTTGAAACAGACTGTAGGCCTCGGTCTAGACCTGCCAAGCGAGGGTCAACCTCCGGTCCACTTGCTGGACTGGATAGCTAATAATAGAGAACTAATGTCTTGTTTTAAAAACTTTCTCGCCTGCAGTCCCTTTGTTGGCGACGCCACATCCAGTGTCTCTGCACAGTCCACCACACCCTTCACGTCTGCCCTGATACCCTTGATGAATTTCATTACACCCTCAGTTCCAGTCCACGCAGACCTTACTATTTATTATTTAAAACCCATATCAACACATACTCCCGTCAACATATGTTATTCCATTGTCTATCCGTTTGGAATTCATTACCCACGTGTATTCGGGAGATTGAACACCCCCGGCAATTCCGTACATCCCTCATGCAAGAATTTTCTACCTGTATTTAACAAGCCATACACTGCACTCATCTCCCTTCCTCCCTTTCCTTACACAGCACACAAGAGAGATCGATCCTCGATAGGCCTCTGCGGCCTTTGGATAAAAATCAATCAATCAATCAAATAATACTGTAGTATCCCTGCTTTACAGTTAACGCATGACTAGTACTTTGCATGACTCTTATAATTACTCTTGTTACTACTTTCGGACAAGTCCTACATCATGTACCTCACATATGATTTGATTACATCAGGAGTACCGCGCTTCTAGAAGATCATAGATCTTCCATGCATGCTGCTGTCATCACTTCTAGTATCACTTCCTTTTAGTTACTAGTTGGTACAGTCATGACTCAGGTACACATGTATGTCATGTTGTTCCGGACTATTCCAGACTTTCCACGTCATATGCCCGATGAGTAATGTTGCTGACTAAATTGCATAATATAGATATCTCATCTTCTAGAACACCTCGCTTAGTCATTATGTTAATGTTACGCAATGCTCACTTCGTCTACATGTATAGCAATGATGCTCTAGGTTTACTTCTCCACTATTCTAGAACTTGTACTAGAAGGATGATTTCGTAATCACTGCAATGGCTTACTAAGCTTACTTTCCTACCGCCGCCTGCTTTGCTATACATACTTTGCTTGCCTATAAAAGCTGCTGTCTTTTCTGCCACCATCAGATTAGCTCAGATTAGAGGAGCTGAGAGCTGAGATCGGAGAGATCCGATAGAGATCAGAGAGAGAGCAAGTTCACTTTCACTTTGATATAAGATAACCTCCAGGCCGTGCCGGAGTAAGTTCTGATACGTTACTGTAGTTGACTGACTGTGGGTAGTACTAGTAGCCTCCTAGCCTCGCCGACGCACGTTACAATACCAAGAGGCAAGAGTATAATTATGTACTCTTGTTCACACATAATAAATGAGACTTCGGGTATAACGACACTTCGCGAATAAGGACACTTTTCTGATGCCCCGCCGCGCCGAGTGTTGTAGGCTACTAAGTTATAATATTAGTACTCTTGGTTTGATGATGCACTCATTATGCAGCATGCTCACGCACTCGTCATGTCATGAGCAGGTCGACTCACTCATGTACATGACTACACTAGTCGACTGTAGTATCGTGCACGTACAGCTAGCACTAGCAGTCAGCATGCACGCACACGGAACACACAGCTACAGACAGACATGACACAGTTGCGCTTGCTGCATGCATGAGTCAACCCCTGGACTGGAGACTGTGGAGTGGAGATAGTTTTCGCAACCAAAGGGATTTTTTCAACGCTTCAAACGTAGCAAAGAGACTCCCGGGATCCCGACCCTCAGCCAAGCCTGCTTTCTTGGAGATGATCGTGAGCAAGCAACTGTAGTCTTTAGTAGTCTTTAGTCGCACCTGTGGCCTGAAACCATGGCCAAAACGTACGACTTCTTGTTCAAACTTCTCCTGATCGGCGACAGCGGCGTTGGGAAAACTTGCATTCTATTTCGCTTTTCCGAGGATGCGTTCAATTCTACATTCATTTCCACCATAGGTGAGTAGCTCATTAGTAGGTTCTGGTGTTCTGGTACTCTTCTTTGTCTATGGATTGATGGTGTATTCAAGCTTGGAGGCATCAGGAATCACTTTCCTCCTCATTGTCGTTTTCTAGGAATTGATTTCAAGATTCGAACAATCGAGCTGGATGGAAAGAAGATCAAACTCCAGATATGGTTAGATTCTATGTTTCTCACAATTATAGTTGTACTATTGTACATCTGGTGGAAGAGAGGACGTGCACTTAGGTTCATGACTTCCTTGAGTCATGGTACAACATGGTGCATGATCATTTTGTAAAGTTCATGTGTTTTGAAACGTCAAAGACAAAGTGGTCCAATCCTAGTGATCTCTTAAGGTAGCCAGTGCAGGCTGTCGTAATAAAACGACTCATCCGTGTTCCATTCCCGTACATGGTACATGCATGGTGCGACGGCACAATGACAGCTGTCGCAAATCACACTGAGTATTACACGTGTTTTTTGGTGATTCCTGGTTAGCTGCTAGCTTTTCCCTACTCGAAGATGTTGCCGCCGCGAAATCTGGGGGTTTGTGTTCGTCCTGGCGAAAACCGTGTTTTGATCCGTTGAGGGAGACGAGAGATACAGTGCGAAGACGTATGATCTGTCCGAGAATCGGCGAAGAAGAAAGCTTCGCAGACTACCCGTAGTGGTTGGGAACAGAATGGAACATATACCAGTCGATGCCTGTCATGGTAGGGATGACTGCTACGAAGTTTTAGCCCCATGCTCCCCAGCGCTTTTTAGCGCCCGACGATAGTTACCAAATTTCATCGATTTTCCATGTGGATCAAAGCATAGTCTCCTCAATCTTCTCCAGTCGAGCTGAGTCTGGACGCTACAATGTCGAGACGCGAAAAGAGAACATGCATGAACACACAGGAGCATCACATGCAGCTGCATTCTGCCTTGACGAAGCTGAGAACAACACCAGCACCACGCATTTGGGAGACATTTCGAAGAAGACGAAGAACTACATATCTGCGTTCAAAAAAGCCTCTGTACTGTGTGTGTGCATGCAGTATGCATGCATGCATGCGCGAAGCACGGGGTCCGCGGATCAACTTCGTTCAAAAATCATTGTGCCACACGGGTTGTATGATTTGTGTGCGATCATGGTCTTTCTTTTTGACAAACAAAAGTGAAGTTTTTCGATCTTCAAATCGCCATAGCGTCCTTGTCATGACTCCAAATCAGCTGAAACTTTGCAGGAGGAATGAAAATGCCATGCTGAATCGATTGGTACCATTTTCGAAGGGTTTCCTTGAAAAATAAAATTTAGCCTGCACTGGCTACTTAAGGGGAAGTATACCCTAAAATCAAATTTTCACCAGTTGTAACCTTCGGGGTACTGAGTCATGAGTCGAATGGTCTTGGTCCGAGGAAGCTGAGACGCTCCCTTCCTCCTTTATTCCCAATCGAACTCGCCACTTCCACCGAAACTGGGTGACTGCGCCCTACTAGATGGGGATTTGTATACAAAATGTCACTAAAAGCGCAATTTCGTTCTTATAAAAGCACGGATGACTGCGATTGGCCCATATGTTGTAGTCCTTTGGACGCTGAGTCCATTGGTTTTGGTCCGAGAAGGCTGCGATGCAGCGTTCGGCCCGTATTCCCAATCGAATACGGTTGAGTAAGAGGTCACGTGCTCATGCGTACACCAGTCGCCTGTTCACCGTGCCCGCAGGAACTTACAGCCTGTTTGGGCTAAATGCGATTGGAATAAAGGACGAATGGACCATCAAAGCTTCCTTGGACCCCATTCTATTCAGCCCCCCTCCCCCCCCCCCCCCCCCCAGAAGACTACAACAATGGGGGTCACCGGTTTTTTACTTTAGTTCCAATGGCTTTAACCCTTTGAGCACGCATGACGTATTAATACGTCACGTACAGTGTCACTGCACCCACGCATGACGTATTATTACGTCGTGAGTGTACATAGCGTACAAACGCGATTTGCATGGACCGCGTGAGTTCAAATTATCGTAACTCGGTCAATTCTTGGCCGATTCTCACGATCGAAATATGTATCTGCAAGAGAAAACTCTCAGCTTGCGATAGCAACAATCGCCGCGCCGAAGCGATACGACCCCGGGTTGTTGAGATATGCGACTCGACACGGCAAATTCAAATCGATTTTTTTTGCGAACTCTGCAGAACGCGTATTTTCCATTTTCGATCATTTTCGCGCTATCTGCTGCCATGGAAACTAGATTCAAATGATGGCAGCGGATCTGGCGAGCCCTCAAAAAAAATTGAGCTCGATACGAGCAAGGAGAGTGAAATGGCAGCTGAGGATTTGATCACCTGGCCGTGCTCAAGTCTGTCGAGCGCGTGCGTCAAGTTTGCCAGACTGTAGCATGGGCTTTTGGTGTCGCTCCGAGCTGAGCTTGGAACTATTTTGTTCCTCGCCTCAAGACCTTTGCAGGAAGATCAAGATCGTGGAATTCGTCCAAAGAAAGGTAAAGTTATCGATCCTTGAACAGCTACTACTTTCATAGGAAAAACGCGATTTTTGCAGGTGTTCACGTGGGGCGGCATTCAGGTAGCGTCGTGCTCAAAAGGTTTACTACCGGGTAACCCATTTTGCCCGAAACTCCAATGTTTTTAACCTCAATATCAAAGGAATGGATACAGGAAACTCCAGTTTTTTGGCAGCTTCAGAATCGGTTCTAGGTCAGTATGCCGAAAACCAGTTCGGCGAGTGACATTTCATTTCCGTTGACTGGTCGAAAACCGCGTCGATGCTTGGACAATTCTCGACAGGCACACTTCGCCGAATTGCTGTTTAGGCGATTACCAATTACAGTGCATTTCAAAACTATAGACGCGTAGGGTTTTTGAAATATTTCAAATTTGGCTGGAACTTTTTGAGAATAGTTTTCGGAATATTGCTCAGGATCGCTCCACAATTACTCTCATATAGTTTCTAAAGGATTGGATAACAGACGCCCAATTTGGAAAAATTTATGCACAAAGTGATCACAGATTTTATGTGGTATAGATGCTGGCATAACGGTTTTTGCCTAGGTACGCGTCTATAGTTTTGAAATGGACTGTAGGAGAGGGTTTTTTTCCGACTACAGAGTATTTCGCCGAATTCTTGTCTCTTACACACCTGGTGCCAAAATACATAGTGAAAATGTTATTCTGGCCTTCAGAATATCAAAAGTACCTTGAAACATTAGGAATGCCTCCCCGCCGTGCGTTTTCATGTACATGTCCAGTACCACCAGTGCGTCCAAGTTAGCTGGTGTGGGCGGAACATTGTCGGCTGCATTTCACGCTCTGCACCCTGTTTGCTTCAGAGCTGCGGAAGATGGTAAGCTCACCACAGCTCACCAATTTCCTGGTGACCCGGGACGATCTGGTGAAGAGTCCTGACCCGCCGCGGCTTTTTTTGTCTTCATGCGGCCTCTGCAGGACAGTTCGTCCCTCTTTCGCACCTCCAGTAAACAGTCTCGTTTCTTCCTCTCTTGTCTTGCACGTAGGCGTACTAATCCTTGACTAGTTTGGGGTTGCCTCGTAAAGTTAGGCCAGTAAAATCGGGATAAGCGTTCATGATTGAGTCACCAAGATAAAGGATTTCGTACCCAGGGCTTACAGTTTTTCAGTGGAATTCGGCTACAGGGTCGACGGTGAAAATATAACTTCGTCGAAATGTACTTGCCGAATGTGTTATGCGGCGAAAAAATCAAGCTGTGAAGCAGCACAGTCGCCGCAAAATGTCATTCGATGAATTGACCACCTCGAAATGTCTCGCGACGAAATGTCACGCGCCTAACTGACCGGATACCTCAGAATCAGCATGTTATACCCTGCTAGCCCACCGAAATGAGTAAACAAACATGACTTGACTACGTAAACTAACATCACGAATGAAATTAATGCAACTAGCCTACCGTATTTCTCCGTAAGTTAGTTCTCCCCAATGACTTAGTACCCCCTATAAAAAACACACTTTCCACTGCCGAGGTTATCACCCCGAAAGACAGTTCCCCCCGAAAGATAGTAAGTTCGTACCCGTCCTACATATACAGACACCGTACAGTACATACATCATATGCACGGACACTAGAGTTGCGCAGGCTTCCCACTGCGTGTCATTTACCCCTGATAAAAAAGTACTCCCCGAAAGATAGTACCACCCCCGAAAGTTAGTACTCATGTGGCTGCTAAGTTCGAAAGTTAGTACGTACTAACTTACAGGGAAATACGGTATTATTTCTGTCCTGCAGTATACTGTAATTTCACAAATTTTCGGTGTACTTTTATTTTTGGTATTTTCGGTGCGTCTGTTTCATACCTAAAATTTCAATACACCGAACAAACACTAACACACATGATCCAATAGGGAACTGCTTCTCTGTACCGAAAATCTGTTCACCTAACCTGGCCTGTTGCCCTCATACCGAAAATATTGAGCACATAAAATTTCTGAAATTAGAGTAACTTGTGCTTGTATAAAGGCAACAAGGAGATGGTGACTCTTGTCAAAGTTTTTTTTGTTGTTGCATACATATATTGTATTTGCCTTGTAGGGATACTGCTGGACAGGAGAGATTCCGCACAATCACTACGGCGTATTATCGTGGTGCTATGGTAAGTCTCTCTCTCTCTAAGTGTTAGCTATTGTACACCTTGGTACAGTTGTATTGCCTTGATAGGTTACACAGTCCCCAGCAGGGAAGAGGGGTTGAGGAGCAGCATTTCTGACGGCGCACTAACTAATGATGAAGTCGAAACTTCTTGCAGCAGTGGGATTGGTATGTAAACTCGGCCCTTTCCAGCACAAAGACCCAAATGTGGACTCACCAAGTGCTTGACATCGTCGGAAAGGGCTGACTTGACATTCCTGCGCATTCTGCTATCACACACGACAAGACTGATGGTTGGTGGCCAAAGTGGAACAACGTGGGGAAAGGTTGGTACTTCAGGGTTCTAAACTTCTAGCCAAAGGAGGGTAAGGGGTGCAGCCCCCCCCCCCCCCCCCCCCTACTAATTTGTTGATTTTTGTGTTTTCAGACCATTCAACGAAAATGCAGTCGATAGTCACTAACAGAGGGTTCATAAAGGCACACTTGTCTAGGGTGAAGTCAGGGCACGTTGTATTTTGGGTGGCAAGACAATTTTGGAATCTGGAAAAATGGGTTAGAGGTTACTGTTTCCCCTGCCCCCCCCCCCCCACACACACACTATTTTTACCTGGGTAGAACCCTGTAGTTGACTGTGTTGCCACCAGGAAAACACCTCTGCTGCGGCTGGAAAATGAGAAATGGAGATTAACGCATAGCAGCCACTATGTGACCTTGGACAAGTCACTGGACTTGCATTACTTGACCTCACCCAGCTGGAAAACGATGAACCTTGCTCAGGCTTCACACGTGTGTGTGTGTGTGTGTGTGTGTGTGCGTGCGTGTGTGTGTGTGCGTGCGCCAGCTAGTTCGGTTCGTGGGTACACTTATGCCGGATAGTGTTGGGTCTGTTCTCTGTTGCCAACGGGCTCGGCTGCTTGAAGGTGTAATGTTGTACCTACCACCTTTGTTGGTTTCAGGGTTCATATACTTTTTATATGAAGTATACGTGCCTGTTAACCCTGGACTACTTCTGGCTAGATTATCTCTTGTGTAATCATGGTGCTAGTGAAGCTTGTATCAGATCCACTCTGATTAGCCACCCACACTAGTAGCAAGTATTACCTTCACTGGGGGCAGGGGTAACTGCAGTTGGATCCCGGGACGGATACCCTGATGCCGTCAATCCTTTTTCTGCACCTTGTCCTCACCCACTTACTGAGGTGTGGTGAGCCCATAAGTGAGATCATTTTCAAGTCCACCCAGAGTTTTGGGGATTTCAGAGGGTGTCGGCCGTCCGGCGGTTCAATATCCAATTGAGTCATCTTTCCAAGATTCCTTTTGAGTCTCTCTCCCCTCTCCCGGGGAGACCCACGTGACCAGTTTTGGCAGTGAGCAACAACAAGGGTGTGTGCGTGTGTGTGTGTGTGTGCGTGCGTGCGTGTGTGTGTGTGTGGGGGGGGGGGGGGGGGGCAAGTAGTAGTGGCATCTGGGTGAAGAACAATTTTTTTTTCTTTTTTTCCAAGCAATACATGGCTGGGGTAGCCAATGACCACTTTGCGTGGCGATTGCAGGGTTTTTATAGCCAACCGGTAACCATGGCTAGATACTCTCGAAGTCTCAATGGGATGCATGTCGTCCGAACCCACACACCAGCATGCGCTATGCACTTTTAAGCTTCCCGTGTCTGTCATATTGAACCACTGCTCTTGGTTGTTGTCAATATGTCAGCCCTTTACCGGTCGATTAATCACTCCTCAGAATAATATTTGCGACATCAGCTGTCCGTGGCACTGTTAGGGGAGCGGCATTTATGACTCGTCATAATGTTTGTATTCTGTGGGATCTGATTGCAGTACAGTGGTTGTTGGCTAGTATTTTTTGATTGGTATTACCTAAGCTTCATCTGTAGGGATTCGCATTGCTACATACAGTGTGCTTGTTTTCTTTTTCAAAGGGAATTATGCTCGTCTACGACATTACCAACGACAAGTCTTTCGACAACATCAAGAACTGGATACGAAATATTGAAGAGGTATGTGTTGGTCAGTGTGATATGTGTCCATGGTGTCCATGGTGGCTTTTAGCTAGTAACTTTTCACCAGCATCTGTGTTCGTCTTGAAATTTCTGTTGAAGCTTGCTACATGACATGTCATGTGCACTATACCTTCTTTTTGTTTCATGTTGAAGCTCGCCTCCAGGCATGGCACAGTACTGTTGAGCTGGACTAGCTACTGCTCTCTCTCTCTCTCTCTCTCTCTCTCTCTCTCTCTCTCTCTCTCTCTCTCTCTCTCTCTCTCTCTCTCTCTCTCTCTCCCTCCCTCCCTCCCTCCCTCTCTCTCTCTCTCTCTCTCTCTCTCTCTCTCTCTCTCTCTTTTCTCTTTCTCTCTCTCTCTCTCTCTCTCTCTCTCTCTGTGTTCGAGGCTCTCGTTTTGCTTATGGATGGGTCTTTCCAAACTTGTTATTATGGATGGACATAAAATGCAGGACCAGCGGAAGCAGTTTTTGATCGGTCTGGCCATGCCTAGCCTTTCATACAGTTTGTGTATGACGTTGGCCGAAAAGTTGGTCCGGCCATGGCCTGACCAACCGAACCGGTTCCGCCAGGCCTGAAATGACACGTGTACAGATGCGCATCTGTATTGTTTTGTGTTTTGCACCTCTACATACTTTTCCAGTGGTGTCTGCGCCTTTCCCCTAATCTGTGATGACATCTGTTTGTTTGTGGTACTATAGCACGCATCGGCGGATGTGGAGCGGATGATTCTAGGCAACAAGTGTGATATGGATGAGAAGAGAACAGTAAGCAAGGAGAGAGGTGAGCAGCTGGCTGTCGAGTATGGTGTCAAATTCATGGAGACCAGCGCCAAGGCAAGCATTAATGTCGAGGAGGTAAGCTATCCACTCTAGCTGTTTGTCTCCTCACTGTATTTACATGACTGTTTGCAACCCCAGATTGAAGGGTGTTTGCATGAACACGCGGGTTGGTCTCAAGTTGAGTACAACAGTGAGGACAAGAGCAACTACAGTAAACACCTGGTTTAAGCCACCACCCAACGGTGCAAGCAAAAGCGGTCGTTTAAGCCAGGTGGTCTTCAGAACCAGGTCCCACAGTGTCTGTGTAAAACTGTCGGTGCATGGAAAAACGGTGGTTAAGAGCAGGTGGTGGCTAAACACAGAGGTCGCTTACACCATGTTTTACTGTATATAACAATCAGCTATGTGCAACCGAGAATACCTTGGTGATAACGGTAAATAGCCTAATAAATATGCTGTATACAACAATCAGCTATGTTTTTGTTTTGTTTTTTTTACTAAAAAACACAGCCCTACTAATAATCAGGGTAGAGGACAACTGAAATGACACTGGACAACAAGACAAAGGGGAGTAGGGGCGATGTGGTTGGCGAGGCTCATCCGACCGGAGGTCTCGGAATAGCCTACGACCAGGCATCGATAGGAATGCAGCTAGGGAGGGAGGGAGATCAAGTGAGAAAGAAAGAGAGAGAGAGAGAGAGAGAGAGAGAGAGAGAGAGAGAGAGAGAGAGAGAGAGAGAGAGAGAGAGAGAGAGAGAGATGTGCAACCGAGAATACCTTGTTGATAACGGTAAAATAGCCTAATAAATATGCTGTATACAACAATCAGCTATGTGCAACCGAGAATACCTTGGTGAGAACGGTAAATGGCCTAATAAATATGGCTGAAAGAAGTGTTAGCACCGACGCAATCCGCACAGTCAAGAAAACCAATTTTGTAACCAAACACTTTCGTTCCCTTCTCATCTTGTTTTTTCCTTTCTATAAAACGGCTAATTTGAGTGAAAGGATTGTTTTGGCTAAAGTACCTATAAGGCACACGCCCTGCTTTCATGTAGCATTGTGTACTTGGAGTACATGTATCCAGTGTGGACTCATACACTGACAACAACACCACAACATGTATCCTGTGGACTCATACACTGACAACAACACCACAACATGTATCCTGTGGACTTATACACTGACAACAACACCACAACATGCATAACAGAGAGGTTTCACAGAACGAACGTTCGCATGGATTTTCGCGTCTGGGCTTGCGCGAATGTTCGTGCGAAGTTTGTGTTTTGCATGCTTTTCGCTCCAAGAAAAGAATGTTCGTGCACTCGCGCTTGTTTGAGAAGTTGTCTTCGGATTGGAGCTTCATCCGACTGAGAATGTATTTGCTGCGAGTGGCGGCACCCTGAGACAAGAGCTTTTTTCTGGTACTATTCTGTACCCGTCTACCCGAGGTCCTCACGGCGACTACCCGTGCACACCACTACTAATTATACCATCTTTCTGTACACACAAATTAGGCTTGTACGGACGCTGACAAATGGCTTAACTGTAGTCCATAGCCATGACGACCACGGCACAATACAGTGAAACAAACAAGAGTCGGAATCCAACGACGTTTCCTGAGGAGTGTTGTACGAAAACTTGTTTGAATCCTAATTTTGCTCTACCCTATTTCTTTCTTCTTTCATCGTTTTATTGCACATTGTCTCCACCGTTTTACATTACATGAATAAGTATACGCAAATGTCGATTCAGCTTGTCTAATTGATTGCGGTTATTTTCGAAGTACAGTCAACTTCGCTTATAACGACACTCGGCGGGGCATCAAAAAGGTGTCCTTATTCGCGAAGTGTCGTTATACCCGAAGTCTCATTATATGTATTACAGTGGGATGGGACTTTGCTCTGGGCATGGAAATTCTGTCGTTATTCGCGAATTGTCGCTATATCCGCAGTCGTTATTAGCGAAGTTGACTGTACGCATTTTTATGGAGTTTCGGCAGTTTTACAACCTATCGCGTATACGTACACATGCATAATGTACACTGCATAGTTCCATCAGGGACGATTTGAATCAACTTTGTGCCATCATAGAGCTTCTGGTCTGTGAGCATGCGTGAATGAGCATGCGAACATGTGCATGTATTAGTAGTAATTCCGCACGGTACATTTTCGAACGAGTATAATGAACTATACTGCTCAAACTAGCTACTCGCCGAACTAACCGATAAACCGACCGTTAGCGTAGCAGTTAACTGTTAAGGTGAAACTGTTAAGGTGAACACCGTAACTGTTTGAGCCCTAAAAAATTAGCCATGTTGCAATATGCTCGTTTACTCATGCGAACACAGCTCAACAACTTACGTATGCTTCATGTACTCAATCTGCGGATAGAACTGTTTCGTCCTTTGACATCATGTGTTGTACGTGTATTGACTGTGTTCTCATCTGTGCTTGTTTGTTTTGTACATCCTACAGTCATTCATTATGCTAGCACGAGATATCAAAACCAAAATGGATCGTAAACTTGTAAGTGTGCATCTCCTCTTCTTTGGATCATGATCATATACACGTAGGTGACAGAATTGAAACATCAGCCTTGGTTCATGCGTCTTTATTTTGATGCATTTTAGAAACACACCCCACAGCATTTGGCTTAGTGAGCACGTTTGTGCCAAAGATCGGAGAAAGGACAGAAATCTGTGTTAGGGGTAGAGATCTGCGATAACACCTTCTGACTTACATGTACTTTTGATAGGTGCATGTTCTGAATTCTTTGCACCCATACGCATAAGTAGCCAGTGCAGGCTAAATTTTATTTTTCAAGGAAACCTCCGAAAATGGTATCAATCGATTCAGCATGCATTTTCATTCCTCCTGCAAAGTTTCAGCTGATTTGGAGTCATGACAAGGACGCTATGGCGATTTGAAGATCGAAAAACTTCAGTTTTGTTTGTCAAGAAGAAAGACCCTGATTTCACACGAATGGTACAGCCCGTGAATGCAGATAGTTTCTAGTCTTCTTTGAAATGTCTTTCGAATAATTGACGTGGTGCTGGTTTTGTTCTCTTCGTCGAGGCAGAATGCAGCTGCATGTGATGCACCTGTGTGGTCCTGCATGTTCTCTTTTCGCGTCTCAACATTGTGGCGGCCAGACTCAGCTAGACTGGAGAAGATTCAAGAGACTATGCTATGTCCATTCAGATCGTACGTCTTCGCGCTGTATCTCCCGTCTCCCTCAACGGATCAAAACACGGTTTTCGCCAGGACGCAGACGAAACCCCAGACTTCGCAGCGGCAACATCTTCGAGCAGGGAAAACCCAGCAGCTAACCAGGAATCACCAACAAACACGTGTACTACACAGTGTGATTTGCGACAGCTGTCATTGTGCCGTTGCACCATGCATGTACCATGCACGGGAAAGGAACACGGATGAGTCGTTTTATTACGACAGCCTGCACTGGCTAGCATAAGTGCACTGAAGTACATGTACTTGACAGTAGCAAGAGTACATAACCAAGAGTGTGCAACTCCTATCTCGAGCTGGGATGGGTTCACCCACGGTGGAATTTTTTTATTGCGTCATTCTTTGGCTGAAGTATGATCAAGTGCGTATGCTTTCCTACGCATTTTTGTAGATACAGTGAGAGTTCACCAGGTTCAGGACACATCGATATATCGTTTGTTCTGCTTCGACTACCGTAGCTGTGATGTACAGATTCTTTGTACTTTGATCTCTGGCTACGCATGATGGCATCAGCGAGCCAAACAGCCGCCAAAGACTGATGTCATAAAAAAATTCCGCCGTGGGCTGGGGGATCGTCAAGTTGCACACTCTTGGTTATGTACTCTTGACAGTAGCAATCGGAATTTTGGTATTGGTAGCACTTCAGCCCTCAGGTCTTTTCTGACCCACTTTTTTTTTCCTTTACCTGCAGCCCCCATAGGCTCTTTCTTTGTTCGTCTATCCTGACCCTAACATGAAACGCCTCGATTCTGGCTTTTGTATTCTTTTTCTTGAATTGTTAGAATCAAGCGGATCCTCCTCCAAGCAGTGGAGTCAGTATGGAGAAGAACGATTCATCAGCGAAGGCTCCTGCTAAGGGAGGACTTTCATTTTGCTCGCTTGTGTAGTTAAGCAACCACGTCACACCTGTGTGTTTGCGTGTGTTCTTATGCACATCTCAACCGTGTACAGTGTACGAGGCACAAGAGAGAGAGAGTGTGTGTGTGTGTGTGTGTGTGTGTGTGTGTGTGTGTGTGTGAGTGTGTTTGTGTTTGCACATGTGTTTGTGTGGTATGTAGTGCATAGTATGTGTGTATGTGCACATAATTATGGTGTTACTTGTGTGTGTGTGTGTGCGTGTGTGCATGCGTGTGAGTGTGTTCTTTTAGCTCTAGCAAGAGGTAGTATGCTTTGTGTGTTGGTGCTGCCAGCTTTACACTTGATAGAGAGTTCACAGAAGTGCTTTATCCTGTATTTCCCTCTTTCTATCAATTTCTTACTCTACTATTGCACAAACATAACACCTGCTGCTTCTGCCGCTACCCTGCGACCATGCTTTCCCCATATGCTGTTTATAACACTGCTGTTTTCATTTACACCTCCCCTCCCCAGAAATGCAGAGGCGATAGCATATTCTACTTGTTGCACCCATCATGACCTGAATTGTCTGTGTGCGCGGTTGCAACCGTTGTGCTCACCTCTGCTGGTAGCAGTCCTGATCCGCTTTGGATATATTGAGAGGACCTTGCAACGTTTCTTTTCATATTTTCCCTTCTTTTTTTTTCTTCCTTTTTAGCTCCCATGAATTGTACACGGTTGGGCATTCCTCCAATGGAAAGGGTATCTCCAGCTAAATGATGTGTGCAACTACAGTATTGTAGCCAGTTTTGATTTAAAAAAACATTCATATTGAATTTTAAATAGCTTCAGTATGACAACTGTATGATCGTTCTTTTCTTTTAGTGATAAAGTTGTGGTGTGTCATGGATGTCACAAAGCATGATGACTTCATTATTTGTTTGCCTGACGTTGTCAAATGGCCGTCACTTCCGAAAATATCTCTATCTATTATTGGAGTACAGATCTACTGAAGTATACGTCGCTGATCTGAGAGAATGTCACAATGCGGAGGACACGCTAGAGACCCACCCATACTCCTGATTGCAATGTAGTGCTGGAGGTGGTCAGCAGCTCTAAACTGAAGGCTATCTCTCAGTGGTTGCAACCAGTGTGTACTGAAAACCATTTTTTATTTTATTTAGAAAAGCGATCCTGTCAGCTTTTCTATTATTGTGTTTAATTATGAGTAATGTTTGTGTTTGAATACTAGGGTTGTCCACATTTTTCGAAATATTTTTGTCAAGTTGCGGATGCAAAATGCAGTCTTGTTGAGGCATTATGCATTCCATAAATTCAGCAGGATTTTCAGGAAAATAAGAAGAAATCAAAAAAATTCTAAAAATTGAAAAAAATCAACCCATTTGGGAAAATTATGTGACCGTTGTCATGGCAACCAACAAAAAAATGGCCGCCTCTGTGTGTACATGGTTACCGTGACTCACGTGAGAGTCGACTAGTCTATCGCTGGAAAATTAATTCCATTTTCCTCGTGCTGCATCCATGTGGCTTTTACCTTTTGACAGCTACTGACTACCAAGAGTCCATAGCCCATGACTCTTGCTACTACTGTAGCCGTTGTAGTATCCCTGCCTCAGTTGCTAGTACTCGTACTGAACTGTAGCTGACATCTACTGACCTCTAATCATGTCACATGTACACGTACGTACACGCACTGCATGACTCTTGTCACTCCTTTGCTGACAGGCCTGTATCACTTCTCACCACTTGTGTTTCCCTTGCGCTTGCTGGATTGCATAGTACATTATCGCTGCTAGTTTAGATCATCACACCTGTATGCACTTGCCTTTGGGTCTTTGTACATTCAGTACTGTGGTATTGGTTTATAAAGCATGTAACATTGATAGTGTGTTCAAGGACACATAACATTGTCCTGAAGTAACTTGTAGTTCCACTATAAAATCAGTGAATCTTCGGCGCCTGAACTTGGTAGTTGTGAGGTCTGGCTGTTTGACACACCCTCATGTTTTCGACTGGGGTCGTGAGGAGTGAATTCCTGCTTTGGGCATGGAAAAGGGCAAAATATACCCCAAGTTGCATTTTTTCCCTGGGGATGCATTTTTACCCCCAAGTTGCAAAAAAGATGCAAAACATACCGAATTCGGTGATCCGCGCTGTGCTTGACCTTCCGTGTCGTCTCGGTGGTCTCGGTATTGTTAACCCCAGTCAGCTGAGCGATGAACATCAGCGCTCTCTGTCCATCACCCATCCACTCATTGACAACATCATCCAACAGCAGTCATCCATGGAAGGCATCTCAGGGCGGATGCGGGTACTGAAGGCAACAGCTAGGACAGCCGCTGGGAAGAAGGAGAAGGACCATGTCGTCACCCTGATGGCCCAACTCGAGCCAGACCTGCAACGCACCCTACAGCTTGCCTCGGAGAAAGGCGCCTCAAGTTGGCTGACATGTCGGCCATTGCGAAGGCATGGCTTCCAGGCGCGTACGCAGGGGGGGTTTCCCGTTGCCCGGAAACCCCCCAAATGTTCCAAACGAGCAACGTTTTGGGGCATTTTTGGTAGGGCCCACGATCGATCTGGCAAGAATGCAAAACTTCAACAGATCGCAACTCAGTCAAATCTCGCTCAAATCCAACGATCCAAATATCCAGGTCGAATAGAAAACTCTCAGCTGTCCGTTGAAACAATTTTCGACGCGCTGCGAGCAATGTCTCTTGAGATAAATCATTCGAAAGTTGAGCCGCGATCTTCCATTTTGAAAAGTGCGCAGTGCGACTGGAGTATCCAGAATTTGGGACTTTTCGTCGCGCTGGCTTGCTCAATTTTGCAGGGGCTTCACTTGTGATATTTTCAAGAGAACACAGCCAAAAAAATCGAAACTCTGCGATCAAGAAAAACGAAATCGCTGGAGCAGGACGCGTTTGGGCTTTTGGCCAGGACACAGTACAGTCATGTACATATTGTATTGTATTGTATTGTATTTATTTAAAAGGATTTTCCAAAAGCAAATGGATGCTTATCACGGAAGTCTCCCACATAAATATCGCAAGAAAAATGGGGAAATGGGGGAGAGGAGAGTGGAAGATGAAGCATGGGAAGAAGGGAAACAACTTTCAAACAAGTACCTAAATATCGAGGTATAAAAGCAGGAAAGAAATCGACGAGGGAAGAAATCACCTCTGCAGATAATATCTAGCGCTATGGCTATTTATAGCGGAAGAGTGCAGCGACGGTGCGAAAAAATGCCCCAAAGTTTGGGGCATTTTTTCGCACCGTCGAGTTTGGGGCATTTTTTCGCACCGTCGCTGCACTCTACCGCTATAAATAGCCAAAGCGCTGGATATGTACATGACTGTACTGTGTCCTGGCTATCATGGTCGACCTCATTCTCTCCCTGGTACCTTTCCACTTCCAGGAAGCCCAAGATAATGAAGATTGAGTGAGTAGAACTGAAGTTATGATCCAAAGAACACGAAAAAATGCATAATTCTGAAAAATTCCTAGGGCTCTTTAGAAAGGGTTAGAACGAGCAATTGTTTGCGATTCGGTTGGAAACCCCCCTAGAGGTGACCCTGCGTACGCGCCTGGCTTCACCCTGCACAAGGGCGCCTTCCGCGATGCCATATGCCTCAGGTATGGATGGGATCCTGATCGCTTACCGGCAACATGCGCGTGTGGAAAGCCATTCTCGACCACCCATGCCATGTCATGTGCCATCGGTGGTTATCCCTCGTTACGGCACAACGAGGTCCGAGACCTAACAGCAGCACTGCTACGCGACGTCGCACATGATGTTCATGTTGAGCCGCACCTCCAGCCTGTGACCGGTGAGCGCTTTCCGCTGCGGTCCACCATCACGGCAGAACAAGCTCGGCTGGATGTAGTTGTCAGCGGTCTACACGGTGGACGGTTTGAGAGGACCTTTCTAGATGTCCGGGTTTTCAACCCATTTGCCCCCTCAAATCGGAAACCAACGATCGCTGGCAGCTACAGAAAGCACGAAGAGGAGAAACGGAGGAGTTATGAGAGTCGCATTCTCAACGTTGAGCACGCTTCCTTCATCCCCGTGGTGTTCAGTACGACTGGTGGCCAAGGGAAGGCAGCCTCCACTCTCTTTGGCCGCATTGCAGGCATCAAGTCTGAGAAGAATGGTGAGCCTTTCTCTGTGGCAATGGCTTTGATCAGAGCCCAGCTGTCCTTTGCTCTCGTGAAGGCGGCCGTGGCATGCCTTCGTGGGCATCGCCACAAGTCGAGCAGGTATGACCCTCATGCATATTCTGCCACACTTGCTGTCTCCGAGTGTCATCTGTAGACAACCTGTCTGTTTCCCCTTTTCTCTGTATCATTTTGTATGTTATAATTTCCGCGGATTCCAGTTTTTCTCCCTTCATTATAATTTAAGCGCAGTTTAGCGCGTATTGGCTTATGATTTCTTTTTCTTCTGTTTGTATTTAGCGCTTGACCGGTTATTATTTTCCTTCTCTTTATTTTGCGCTACATATTATTATTTTTCTGGTATTATAAACTTTGGCCCTGAAAAAAAAAAAAAAAAAAAAAAAAAAAAACATAATGTGGACAAGCCTATTGAATACGCCAAAATCGCCAACAAAGCACGAATGACCGCGATTGGTCCATATGTTGTAGTCCAAGGTTCAACTCAAAGGTTCAAAGGCTCAACTCGAGTGATAGGAACGCTGTAAAAGTTGTAGCCTGCAGGCACGGTGACTGGTGTACACATGAGCACGTGACCGCTTACTCAGGCACCCATGTTCGATTGGGAATAAGGGCTGAACGCTGCATCACAGCGGGCAGTGGGTTGGCGGACGGTGACGGATGGTGAGGGACGGAGCTCTCCGGAGACGTACAGTGACGGACGGAAACGTCCGTCTCCGTACGACGAGCCGTTGGCGGGCGGTGGGCAGTTTGCACTTCGCAGACGATGGTCGGTTGGCGGGCGATGGAGATGATTTGGCTGCGCAACAGCAAAGATAACTGGGAGAGCATTTCTTCTTGGCTGTTTGTATCGTCCTCCTTCAGCCGATGCTCAATTTTGGAGCTGTGTCAGGAGCTTGTCCACCACATCCAGGGCGAGGATATTATCTTGCTAGGCGACCTGAACATTGATTCATTCCAGACCAATAGGCCACTGTCTCAAAGCGTCGCTACTTCTTCCCGTTCACCTCCTCAGAGTCCTGAACAAAGTTTGTTCTGCGACACGGACCACCCCCTCATCTGCTTCGTCAATAATTATTGACTATATCCTCACAAATTTGGCTGAAGTCAGAGACGGAGTAGTGTCTCCCTGCGAGTTCTCCTATCACAGTGATCTGCAGCATTGGACGTAAAGTCCAATACACACCATACACAACTGCCTGCTTACGATGCTACTCTGAAGACCCGCGACATAGGAACATCAACTTCCCAGAATTGATACGTCTGCTTGAGCAAGCAAACTTGTCTTCGGTCTCGTCTACCAACGTCGATCTAATGCTTGAGGAATGGTTGGGGAAATTCAACACCGTTCTAGATATGGTAGCACCGTACAAACAACCTGGAAGGCCCACACGACCGCGCAAGAAGAACTGTCCGTTCATGACCCCAGAGCTCTTGGCACTCATCCGCCAGAGGAAATCAGCTTTTCGTTGAATACGCCAAAATCGCCAACAAAGCACGAATGACCGCGATTGGTCCATATGTTGTAGTCCAAGGTTCAACTCAAAGGTTCAAAGGCTCAACTCGAGTGATAGGAACGCTGTAAAAGTTGTAGCCTGCAGGCACGGTGACTGGTGTACACATGAGCACGTGACCGCTTACTCAGGCACCCATGTTCGATTGGGAATAAGGGCTGAACGCTGCATCACAGCGGGCAGTGGGTTGGCGGACGGTGACGGATGGTGAGGGACGGAGCTCTCCGG